CTTTAGTAGTATGATAACCCTTACTAGACAATTTTTTCTTAATAAATAATTTAAACATTTTAATAGAAAATGTCTGCATATTTTCTGGGATTGTTGTAAAGGTGTATTTCCCCATGAAGGAATTACCAACTCTTTGGAGTCTAGTAACTGGTATAACTAACTTGTGCTTGTTCCTTGTATTTACAGAATGTACATCACTATTTTTAATAAAACTGTTTTTGTTTTTGTGTACATACATTAAATTGTCGTAAATATATTGAGAGGCCAAAATTAATATATTTAGTTCTTTAAATTTTTCTCTAAGGGATTTCTTCGGTCCTAGGTTATAAATTGCTCTTATGACTCTCTTTTACAAAACAAAGATAGTTTCAATGTCAGTCTCATTACCCCATAGCAAGATTACATATGACATTATACTATGGAAATAACTAAAATAAACTAATCTTGCTGTTACACATGTAAGGCATCTAATCTTTTTTATTAACAATTACGTAATATTCTTAATTTAAACGCCGTTCGCAAGTCTTTAATATTATTTAAAGTGCCTAGTCACTATATGGTTATAGTTAATAATTTTAAATTTTAAATTTTGTACAAACTACTTCAATATAAATTATTAAGAATAACTCAAAAACTATTGGTCAGTCTTGATCAAATTTATATGGGACATCGTGAGAAGCACCAGCCTTCAAATAAAAAAAAAAGAATCATAGAAGTCGGTACACGCAGAAAAAAGTTATGAAGTAACATACATAAAAAAAACATACAGTCGAATTGAGTACCGTCTCCTTTTTGAACTTGGTAAAAAATGAAGAACATTTTGCCATTTGCTGTGGGTATCAAACACGTTTTACATGAATTGTTGGAAGTTATTGCCACAATAAGTAGTAAATTATTTATCGTTTCATCAAACTGCAATCGTTCCGCGTAAGAGAAAGAGTACAGGCTTGGCTGTTCTTCCTGATGTTGAGAACCGTATTCCACGACAGTATGATGCGTTTATTGGTAATAAACGACCATTGTTTTGTAAGGAACGCCAATTTTACTACGTACTTTGCCTAATCTATAGGTATATATCGCAATGATTTCGAGGAGATTGTGGACGGTGCACCCATCTTCATTGAGGCAATGTGGGTTCGGCTTGTCGCCCCATCCGAGACTACGAAGAGCACCGATGGCTAGTCTTAGGCTTCTGGTTTTAGCAGTCTTGGGTACCTTTATTTTGTCATTCATTGTTGTAGCGACAATTTTTGTGCAGTGAGCTAGGATAAAGTCTTAAGCTCAGAGCTATTTACGATCTCTTTGTCAAAGCCTGATGTGGCTATATGTTGCAGATGAATACCTAATTCGCAGTGTACGTCTGAACCAAATTCTGTTACAGAAAGCAAGTCCTTGCCCAGGTTTATAATATGTCCAAATTTTTACGAACAGGTATTCGCCGTTTCTGCGATAATTTATTTGTAAGTACAGGTCCCGTCTACTCATTGGGTTAAGCTCCTTTCGCGGTTGCTCATTGGGCTAATCTAAAGAGATTTTTAATTTTTTTTCAAACAAGATAATTCAAAATCTTATTACAGAAAATAAAGAAATAATTATGAATTCATTCCTCATTATCGGATATTACTTGAAAGTTGAGTATTCAGTTCCTACCAAATGAAGGAACCTTTCATTATCAGAAATTATTTGAAAGCTTCTTTAGCGGTTCCTCATTAGGCTAATCTAAAAATGTTTTTCTTTTTTCAAACAGGGTAATTCAAAATCTTATTACATAAGACAAAGAAATAATTATGAATTCATTCTTCATTATCGGATATTATCTGAAAGGTTAGTGTTCAGTTCCTTTGAAAATAACGAACCTTACTTTATAAAACGCACTGTATGTTACGGTTCCTATGAACAGAACGTGGCCAATTTCTTTTGGTATTATTTTACATTTCCCTTGAAAAGAACGAACCCATTTTATTTTATTGGTTTATTTCCTACCTTCTAGTTGATCCGAGTCCAGTGGCGAATCACTAGGAGTTTTGCTTCACATTATATCTTTGCGCCTTCAAGAACACTGTGTATTTATTTGTACTTTAGTTTCTGAACCCACTTCAAAGAGAATGAAGAATTCGTCGGAATCTATGTTCACCGATTACTCGAAGACACCTGTACCGTTTTGGAAAATTCTTTTTTTGTTTTAAATTCTATACTTCCCAGGTATTTCCATTTAAATTTTATCGAAATCGGTTGAGTGGTTATTAAAAAATCAACAATAAATTATATTTATATTGAAGTCGGTTGTACGAAATTTTTAATTTTACCACTTATTGATTCAAGTAACACTTACTTTTCGCATAATATCAGCTAAGCACTATATTAAATAAAATAAAACACAATTTCAAAATATAGGGAGGTGTTGAGTGGTGAAGCACTAAACTGTGAATGACATATCGCGGGCAGAATCGATGGATGGAACGCGGGAGTGGGTTTCTCCCAACTCCCGTGACCGGAAGAAGAAGAGGTAAGGAGGGGGGTATTGAATTTTTAGATTTTAAACTATAGTGCGCATGGTGAATGATACTATAGTCTAGAGGACGAAGTACGTAGCTACGAAGTATAATAACCTAACATATACATTACCTTATTTTATTCTCCTATCATTATGCAGACTAAATATAATGGCAGTTTTAATATAATCCTAGCTTTCTGATATACTTTTTAACCCCCGATGAAAAAGACGGGTGTTATATGTTTAACGTGTGTATCTGTGAATATGTGTCTATCTGTGGCACCCTAACTCTCAAACGGATAATTAAACATATTCCATCCCTTTACAATGCATCAGGGTTTTTTATTTGTCTTAGTGTGATTCTCCGTTCGAGAACTTAATATGTACAGAGAGATATAAGCTGAAGCTGAAGCTTCATTCACAATTGATTTTGTACCTACGGTAGCATTCACGACAGGCACTAATTGCAAGCGACAACCACACTAAAGATATTTCGACGTTACAGTTCCCGACCTACCTTGTTAACGAAGGTTTAAATATACGTGAATACAATTTACAATGGCATAGATAATCGATTTTTGGTTTAATCAAGTAAAATAATACAGAATAATGATTTTGTAATCCTTATTCTATCCTTACGTACGGCTAAAAATATAATTTTAAAGGTAAAAGCTTTCAGATTTAGGCCCTAGTAATACAAAATACAAACCTAATAGTCCTGCCACGAGCCACTCTAGTACATGCAAAGTTTCTATTTCCGTAATTAATACTTTTTCTTTTGGCTACATTAAATCTCTAAGCAAAGGTTGTCTGGAAGTAATTACGTTTAAAGTGATAACACTGCTCGTTGTAATTATCTTTAATACTATACTTACTCATTCATATCTTTAGGTGAACAAGTCTAAACAGATTTTTTTTTCATAAAATCTTTTAGAAAAATTTTTACTTCGCAAATATCCGCGTTATAAAATAAAATGATGTGTCTTACCTAGTATGAAGACCCTCGAGGGCGGGAGGTGCTCTTCATACTAGGTAAGACACATCACGTGGGCGGGAGGTGCTCTTCATACTAGGTGAGACACATCATTTTATTTATAACGCGGATATTTGCGAAGTAGATTTTTCTAAAAGCTTTTATACAATGGATTTCCGCAAAGTAACGCCTGATTCTATTAATTAGTTTAATTTTCATAAAAATTTGTTTTTTATATAAATTTTAATCTGATTTTAAAGAATTAAAAAGAAATAAAATCATTTCTGTATTTATTAGTGCTATGACATGGTGTATACAACTTGTAACATAAGCACTGTGATTTCTGTTAAGTGCGCCACAAGTAAATTTTTATTTACAAATTGTATGTGGTTTTATTACGTCTAAATAACACGCACATTGCTTACTTACTACCCGGTACAGAGGCAATAAAACGACATACAATTTTCAAATAAGATTTTATTTAAGTTTAATTTAATTTTTTTATGGTCAAGTTTTCTAAATAAAGTTATTTCTATACGTTTGAATACTGATTCTGATTCTGATAACGTACTTAACGAGAACCACAGGTATTTTTTACATTTTTTATAAGTATTACATTTCCTTATTCAGAAATTATTTTAATATTTCTAGTTTTTAGTTCATGGAATTCGGCTTTTGTTTTTTTATTAAAAGTCTAATTTTAATCCTTTTGAGTGGAATACAGAATATTTATCGTTCGAATATCGTCTAAATAGTTACATTATAAACTTTATCCAGTTCATTCCCCATTTTTCAACCTTTAGGATTGAAGATTTCTGTCCAAATTTATGTCGGACCACCCTTTAACTTATTTAATAAAAATAAGAATCAATGAATCGGTCCACAATTGATGAAAATATCTATTAACATACATACAAAAAAAACATACAGTTTTCATGGAGATTTCTCTCTGTTTTTTTTTTTAAGTCAGCTAAAAAAACTTAAAAGCGCATTCAGTGATTATATCGCGTTGCTGTCTCGCCATTAGTGGCACTTGAGACACCAGCTGAAAATAATTGAGCAATAAAAGCTGTATTAACCAAACAATCTACGCACAGCTTTCCATTTGTCACTATGAAGTGTTTTTCGGCACTATTCAAAACAAGCGTCATAAAACGAACTACCTCCGACATAATACAAAAAGTGGGTAGTTGATAGTTTCGAGTGTAAACTATTGTGTTTAGAATAATGAATAATTCCTCTGAATAATGAAGTCCCTTTTTTATAGAATAATGTAAGTTCAGATGACAAGCGCTCAACGCGCATTTACAACTACATAAATTTTATTCAGGCCGTACACTAACGGGCGGTTCATAGATTACTGTATATGGGGCGGTTTAATGAAGCGCGCGTTGAATGCTGCGCTAGCGCTCGACTGTTTTCAGCGCGCTTTGATATCATTGGTTTTCTATGTTACCGTTCAGTTGAGCGCGCGCTTTTGATGCGGATAGACGTATTCTAGAGCTCGCTCAGTTCATCCAGAAATCGTCCGAAATGGAAACGAATGCTATTAATACCGAATTATTTATAGATGAAATAGAGAAACGTCCTGCAATATGGGACATGACAAGTAGCGTTTATTCAGATAAGAACTTGAGGAGACGGGCTTGGGAAGAACTCGTCTTCATATTCTGTGAAGTAGATGACAATGAAGAAAAGAAAAAAATATTATGCGAGTACATATATTTATATTTTCAATCAGTCTGTGTTACAAATTAAATATTACGATCTAGCCATTCAATAATACCTTTTGATGAATAATTTGTTAAATGTACTCGAACATTGTCCGCCTGTCACACAGCACGTCCGATATAATGTGAGACTAGATTTTCCAGTGGTGGGGTATGAAGTGTATCTCCATAATTGTATCCATCTCTCATTCTGACATAATTGTGTAGTGTACATATCGATTTTACGATCTTTACTGCAAAACCGGTGTTAACATCTAACAGCCTATGTAAAATACGCCATTTATTGCACATTATGTCAAAAATACATTCGAAATACCGTCGTGCTAATTTCAACCGGTAATTAAATATTTTTTTTAGCATAAGTTAGTGACCTTCCACCATAAGGCCGCCGCATTAAATTCTCCATCATGGCAAAAGCTTCATCAGCCACTATCACGTGTGGCAACACTGATGGTCTATTTTGTATTATAATTGCCTTTGGCTCAGGCGGTTCTAATGACCTTTCTGTCAGCTTTTTGTACAATGAAGAATTCTTGAATATACCTGGGTCACTGTTTTTACCGTAGGCACCTACATATATCAATCCACACCAAACAATAGTTTTAATCCGCTAGTGCCAATAAAACTAGCAATTTTTGTAGTTATAATACATTGAACCCGAGTGTTCAGGCTGGATTCACCGTATTTTTCCCGTCCAAGGCTCCTAAACAGGAAACTTGAGTACTTTTCAAATATCATGGATATTTCATACCACTTTTCTTTCGTTATTTCACTCATAACAATGTGTCTCAATTTTCTCCAAATATTTCTACGTACATGTGGTGTTATAGAAGCCGCAGTAGATTTGCCAATGCCATGATCGTAGCTTAATGTCCCAAAGGAACATCCTGTGGCGAAATATCTGAAAAAAAAACATAAATCCTTAATAGAAATATTTGAAAAAAGGCCAAGAAGCTAGTCAACTATTACTTAATTCTGTTTTTTTTCAGCGTCATCCCTGTAAAAGAAATGGAAGAACTTACGAGATAATTACATGAGAGAGGTAAAGAAAATGAAGACTGTTAAGTCTTATCAGGGGCTTCGAAAAATTCGTCATATATTCATTATAATAGACTACAATTTCTACAGGCATCTATAGCCAACAAAGATACAGAAAGTAGCTTCGATACAGCTAATGCATCAACTTCGTCAGTAGTTGTTAGTGACTGAGTTTAAGAGGCCTACTACTCCAAGAAAAAAAAATTAAGTTCTGCTGACAAAAGACTTGCAAGCATATTAGAGCAAAGTTTAGCACAGAAAAATGTTTCGGAACCAAAAGATGACGATGAATACAAACTGTTTTGTTTGTCACTCGTAAAAGAGATTAAAAAATCCCGGATTATAAACGACTTCGTACTAAAATTGGCATTTATAATTTAATCTTGCAAAAGCAAAACCTTCAAGAACCGCAGCTGCAGTCATTTTAAAATCAAAATTATCGTAACTCGTACCACAACGAAGAAATTATTTGCCACAAAAGTAGCGTAGTCAAGCTTCTGTCGAAAGCTTTCAACATCATGACTATAGATCACAGCAATCTAGTTTGCCAAATAATTATTATGGTTATACTACAGCAATAGGATCTCTATCGCCAGTAATACACACTCCATCGAGTTATTCTACGATTAACAAAACGTTGTTTTTTCTTTAAATTTTCTTTCCTAAACAAGTATTGATTTATAAATTAGTGTGTTGATTAATAAAAAACTTACCTCAATGTACTTATAACTTTTTCTTCTGGTGAAATACTATATCGCACAGCGTTTTCATCGTTTAGTTCATGAAATGACTTGATGGACATTCTGAAGTAGTTAAAAAATTCGGGTTTGAATTGCCTTAACTTAGGATACAAAATTATGGCTTTCAGTCAGCCTGTATGAAAAAATTGGGTGGACCAAATATCTCCGTCTTCTGTCGCGTCGTTACTGCCGTCGGTAAAAAATCACCGCTAAAACTATTTCTACGTCCATCTTCGACAAATGAACCAGGTCATAGCGGCCGTGGCAACGCGCGTGCAACGCCTGACAAGCGCGCACTATGTGAACACTATATAAAACTTTTACGCGCGTTCAAAGCGCGTTGAGCGCTTGTCATCTGAACGTAACGTAAGGTTGACAAACGAGCTGCTGTGACCCATAGACATGTACATCTATCCTTGTTTGCGAATCAAAATGCAGATGCGTTGTCACCCGCGAGGACTAAGATAGAATACCTCATTTCCAGTAAAAAGGGTTTCCGGTTCTCTACACTCACCATACGAAACACAGCAGCATTAGGCTGCTATTTTACGCTGGTATTCTATGAGAGCGTGGTCCTTCCCCGGTCGAGCCGACCTATTCGTGCTACAACTATACTATTAATATAGCTGCATGGCTCTACTACGTATAAAAGCCCTTAGCCGCAGCGCCAATATATTTCACATATGCCGCCCTTAGTATGGTAATATATGCTTTAACCACCATCTTATTTGACGATTTAACTATGTAAAACACCAGATGTTCGCATATTAAAAGCTGATCCACTTTAAAGAATAGAATGAGATATTTTTTGATCAAGATTCAATGATTACTCGTACAAGAATACTTATTATTATATATATATAATACTTATTATACTTATTTGTTTATGGGTCTACCTTTTTTTTTTTCAGAGAAAACATCTATCCTGGGAAAAACCCAGTAAAATCCCAGCAGGATTTTTTTTACTATTTACAATAATATATGTTCTAAAATTAGGTAAGATATGCATTATAGGTATGGCAATTATTGAGGTAGTTATTTTGGCTAAAACGTAGTGATCATATCTTGGATAAATTATTATACTGGATGGAGACTTTTGGTTTTTAGCTTGCCCGTTTTTTATCAGTTGTCAGTTCTAGGTATGGATTTATAGCGTGCACCATAAGAGAATAACACAACAGCATTGAGCTGCTACTTTATGCTGGTATTCTGTAAAGATTGCGTCGACCCATACGTGCTACAACCATAATACAACTGCAGCGTGTCTCTACTAAGCACGTAAAAGAGTTGTAATTGTAGTGTGAAATTCTTTTGACCATCAAACATAAACACGTAAAATTCAAGAAAATTTGCATTCCGTCACAAATCTCACTTCACTAGGTTTAAATTATACTTTTTATTTTTTACGGTACCATACGTGCGTTAGAAAATATGAAAACATTTCGCAGCACGTTGTCAGTGCCAGAAAGGCTCCAGCGTTCCAATAATTCAGAGATGACAGATTTAGCTTCGGGTATTATGTACCTGACAGTACATTTTTACGCAAGGTTTACATTTTTTAGCAACACGGTGAGAAAAATTTAACCTCACGGCTTGAAGCACTTTCTGAATGTGGTAATAGATGCTCTTGCTGCGGAAGTGGAAGACTGTCAAACCGTATTTGACTTAGAATTGTAGACAGTGGGATTTTGTTGTCATCACTGTTTGACGTAAGAAACTGTGTGGGTGAATTGTATGGATGAGTTATCAGAAAGATGCTGCTGCTCATCTTCTGTTCCACTTTTCCTCCGTCGCTTCTGACGACACCCACGGGACGATATAGGGTGGTAGATATTTGTACACCGTCACTTGTTTACACGCACTGGTTTATAATATACTAGACATTCGAGACAAATTGTTAGAACTACATCATTTTTAACTTTTTAATAGGTTGATAATATAATAATAATTAAAACAATTAAAGTAAAGGCTGCAAAAATTACATTGTGATATGCGTTTTTTGGTACGTTCTGTAACTTTAGTTCACCTTGTCATTGGCATCAATGATAACAAATTCCCAAAACCTATTAAAAAAAACGTTTGTATTAACGACGGTTTGTAAATCGACGGCTCCGTGGCGCAGTGGCTTAGCAATGAGTTGCTGCGCTGGGGGGCGCGGTTTCGAATCCCGCACGAAATAAGTATTTGTATGGCCTACAAATGATTGTTCCGGGTCTGAATGTTTGTCCTTGTGCAATTTGTGTTTGTAAACTGCCTCCAAGATACAGGAGAAAATCCTAGTGTGAGGGTAACGTTTTAAAAAAATAAAAAAAATAAAAAATAATAACACTTCACGAACAAATAGAGAGTAATACTAAATTAAGTGATCAAGACTAAATTTTAACCGAAAAATTTAGAGATTGTATTAAAACAGAAATATGGATAAGATAAAATAAATGGTCTTTAATGATTATCTTAAGTCTAAATAAAGCTATATTAATAGATCCCACCCAAGAGAAGCTACAGCGGAACTCTATTAATTTAAAATTAATATACCTCAAGTAGGTATGCAATTATTTTCAAATATTTTCACATTAATAGAAAATTTCCAATTAATAGAATAATAATACGTTATAACGATATACCGTTATTAGTGGATTTTCGCTATTGGTACTGTGCATGTTGACGGTAAGGGCTCGATGAGCCGCCATTTCTAATCCCGTTCTTTATCCATACGGACTAAATTTAATATTCATCAATCTGGTACAGCAAAATGACATTCCGCCTGCCAAGCATAGCACGACCATTACCAATTTTCCCTACAACGGAAGAGGCCAATATCCAGCAGTGGATCTTTACATACGGATGAGGAAGAAGAAGAATTTACAACACGCTAATATTTAATAAAGCGAAAAAAGTTTTAAAATAATATAGGTAATACATATTTTATATATAACAGTCAGGTAATTTTTATAAATACTTACGTCCTGCTGACATCATCCATGTCCGTGTCGATATTCTACGTCAGTTAACTTGTGTGACAATACGAGAACGTTATGTTATTAAAAGTGTTATATAAAATTACTAGCGTTTCAAAATACTTTTTAAATACTTACGTGATATAACGTATAACGTATATGACGGAAGATTTTTTGAGTTATTATTATGTTAACATAATATTAGGTTATTTATGTAAAAATTATTAACCTTTTGTTATTAAATAAAATTTAAATAAATTTAACTGAATTTAATTAAAAGCGTGCGTAATGAT